CTAGAAACATGTAAAGGAATAAATGTGGTGCAAAAAAAGGTGCTTTGGACACATTATACAGATAAGAGGACATAGTTTTGAGCAAGCAGAAAAGAACTTATGGCTCAGAGTGTGCAAACCTGCTGCTATTTCCTAAAGATCAAGCTGCCTTCAGATATTTATCCTGAGTCTGAAAGTTACATTCTGCTACAAGAATGAGAAAAATGAGCTCTTCCAAAATTTTAGTGCCTGATGCTTTCGTCCTACTTGGAATTTTTCGTTCCTCTATGCAAGCTTCCAAGTACAAAGGTGGATACATTTTTCATGCTTCACTCTTCCTTTTGATCGGTAGAGCTCATCTCATTTGTGCATAGCGTAGTTAACCACCTGCTGGATGGTGCAAACGTTTTTATTTAGAGGTAATGTATTTATATCAAGTGGTCTGTGAAGAGGCCTTATTGTTTCTAAAATGTTTAAGATACTTCCTTCTTTACAGTGGGAATGCTCTCAGATTGTTAGGGAGAGACAAAGAAGTAATTGGGATATAAATGGTTCACAAGTACATCTTTTAAAACTTCTTTTAAAAGGGTGAAATTCATACCACATGACTTTCACCATGCTAGAGTCCCCTCCTAAGTCCCAGAATGGGGTCACCAAAGAGTGTAATTCGAAGGTGGTTCTTAGGAAAAAAAATAAAAACAAACTATAAATTTGACTTGATTTGATGGAACTTGATAACTGCTGATATTCCTCTGTCTAAATCTGTCAAATTTTGCTTTTTTGAATATCAATCAATTTCTGTCTTTTGTTTGATTATCTTTCAGTGTCATAAGTTGGGTACTACCTCACAGATATTCTACAGAAACAAAAGTATTTGTAAATATGGAAGCACTTAAATACTGTTATCTGAAACAAAGTGCATCTTTTTGAAAAGGCAGTACTATTTTTTGAAAGAATGAAGGAGCTCACATTTTTTGACAGCATTGCGAATATCAAATTCCAAACTAGAAACAATAGTAACATAATTTGTGTGATAACAAATACAGACCATATTAAGCATTTTCTCATACATAAGTAGACTGCTGTCACAGAAATCATCTTCTAGAGCATGAGGGTCACTGGAGCTGGGGTGAACTATTCTGGAACAGCAGAGATTTGGCTTTTGGCCAGAGACTTCCTTGGAGCAGGTCATTTGGCCCCAGTATTCACCTGTAAAATCGGAGATCTGACACCCTCCAGTATTCATGGTGAATCCATCTGATTAGATGAACAATCAGAAACAAAGACCAAAATACATTAACAACCTGTGCTCCTCTCTAAGGAAATTAGAGGCCAACTGCAGGCATTAGGACATCTGTTAATAAGCTCAAGCCTGTGGAGGTGGAGCCTTACATTTCAGAGTTCATTCACCATCTTCCTTTTTCTTTTTTTCATGGAAAGGCAATTTCTTCATAAAGAGTTCTGTGAAGTCTGGCAGGATATTTATGTTAAATATGTTAATCTCATAAAAAGATTTCTGAATTCATTTTAAGAGAGAATCTGCATTCAAATACTGAATTTGCAGACACCATTTTTAAGATACATGAATCCTCTGATATTTTATGATGCCTTTTAGGTAATAAACAAAAGACATCACAATGCAATTGTTTGCCTCAGATTACTGCAGTGAGACCTTTGTTCAGTAAAGAGTTGTTCAAGATTCATGGTTCAATAATTGAATTAGCACAGTTAAGAGATAATTTACAAAAGTCACAGTCCAAGTGTTCTTTGGTCATAAATGAAACAAACCAAATTATTGATTTCCTTCCTTCTTTCCTTTGTTCTCTGGTGATATCACTATTTTCTTAAACTAAAATACATCTGAAATAAACTATTTGGATTAATTCCTCCTCTTGAAGCCTTTTCCTTCTGCCCTTGGCCCCAACCTCAAAGAAAAGTGAAAAGGGGCTGTGAAGTCACTGCCCACATTGTGAAAAGAGATCACATCCATCAAACTGTCACCTTGGTTTTCTCTCCAGGGTCACAGAGGAACAAAGTCAGCTTGTGTCAGGTTGGAATAGCGTTGGTAAGTGTTAGTGTGTGTGAAGCTGGTGGCTTGAAGTCTATTTATTTTGCTTGAAAGGCTCAAGCAGCATGCTGCCAAGCAGAGGAACAAGCAGGAGGAAGTCTCCTTATAAATTATTACTGGGAGGCTCACAGCCAACATTTAAGATGTGAAATTATGCCATCTGCTTTTCTAGGTCTTTCATTTACTTTGTGGCAGCTGCTTGTTCCTGAGGTTTTTTTTTCCTCTTGTGGAGAAGTAAAACTTGTGCTAAAAACTATTTTGACAACAGTGTTTCTTTAACAAAGATTTAATGCTTTCTTGCAAAGCAGAGGCTATGCAGGGGATGTTATCTCAATATCTGTCTCATGTTTTTAAGATAATTTGAATTAAAAATTGTTCTCTTTTTGCAAAAACTGGAAATGAAGATAGAATCCTTTTCTCATTGAAAAAAATTAAATTACTTGTTCTGATTTTAGCTATCAGAAGCATTTCAGGGGGGCACTGGTGGGTTTTTAATGTGGTGACTCGTAATGTTATTGATTTTGTGTCTGTTGGGGTCTCTTTTCTCGTAATTTTGTTATTGATTTTCTGGGGGAGCATCTTTGTTGTCCTTTTGCTGTTTGAAATATTTAAGATTTACTTGCACGTTCTTTGTGAAAAAGAAACACCTAAGGCCCAAGAAGAGCTTTCGGAAGTCACGTGGCTAATTATAAAAGAAGAAACAAAGCCTAATTACTTCAGCGCAGGCTAACGGAGGTGCATGCGGGGGGCTCTTGCAAGCACCCAGGGGTGTTGTGGTGTCAGGAGTGAGTGGCTGAGAGGGTGATGAGTGGGGACGAGCACTTTTCCGTGCCTCGTCCTGCCGTGCCGTGTGTGCCCTGGTGCTGTTCCCGAGCGGTGCTGCTGAGGATGCTGCGGGGCTGGCGCTGAGCGCTCCAGCATCTCCTCCCCACCCCCCGGAGCATCGCTCCCGCTGGAGGCACTCGGTGCGCGCTGCTTTCTCCTCTGCCAGGATTAGGGAGCAGGAGAATGGCTTTGTGAGGAAGCTCGGAGAGTGGGAGCTGAAGAGAGGCTGAACAGAGGGGGCCGAAAGACTTTAGCCTTTCATAGTTCTTTCAGTCAGTTCATTCTGAGAGACCAATTGCATGCGATACGGCAGCTGGGGGTTTTGTTTTCCTTTCAGCTGTGTACTGTAGGAGAAGCTGGTAAGGTTATTTTTTTTTTTTCCTTGTTCTACTGTTCCGTGATGCTATTGTAATTGCTTTATCGAAGGGACTGTTTGGTGAGGAAGGGAAGTTGGTTAATGATGCTGAGGGTCCCTGCATTGTCTCTGCTTTGTGCAGCTGCAGTTTGGGGAGAGGCACTGTTTACAGTACAGGGGCTGGTTTCCGCTGAACAACTTTGCTCTTATTTTTCCAAAGTTGTTTGAGCCTTTCTTTAGGCAAAGCTAGGAAAATAAGCAAATAAACAGACTTGGCTGTTTGGAAATGGGTAAATTTACAGAGGCTGCAATTTGTTGAAAGATCTGTTCTGCCTAATTCATAGTTTCAGATGTTCTTGCTTTGATGTTATCAGATTTGTTACTTTGCTGAATCAACTCCAAAGCTGGGTCTTATTTGAGAACCTTTCTTCATGTTTTCAGCAGGGCCAAGATAAATTGATAGCCAAAGAAAACAAAACAAAAATGTATCTGTGGAAGGTGAAAATACTAGAAGAAAGGTGAAATCCTAGAGGAATTCAAGAATTCAAAAATAAATGAAGAAGCATTAATTCTTGGCAGTAATTTTTAGCAGAATGCTTCTGTCAGTGTAATGGGAAGCATGTGATTAGGCAGAGAACAGAAATACTCTTTCAGAAGATCCAAGATGCACAGGTGCATATCCTGTCTAACTGCATCCTTCCAGAGGAGAAGTTATCGTGTTTATCTTCTCTAAGAGGAAAAAAAAAAAAAAAAAGAATGCTAAACCATAAGATCCTGGCTGACCTGTTCCTTTTGTTATTTCTAGAATAGTGACTTGTGTTGGTCAGAATCTTTTATTTCCTTTCATATTATCGTGGGAAAGTTTAGCTTGAATTGGTCGGACATACGTGAGCTCAGCTTGGGGTATTACCATGCCTATTCCACAGGCAGGCTCTGAAAATCCTGCCTGTGACTCAGACAAATTGTAAAGACCATAATTACCAACAAAAGTTTCTTTTGTAGCCATTCAAAAATCACAAACAAGGTAAGAGGGAATGATTGACAACAGTTACACTACTGATTGACAGAGAACCAAAAACTTGGTCTGTGACTTACTATGTTAGTTTTTCAAGAAGTGTTGACCTTTTTCACTGTTATTCTGTTCTTTCTGATGGACTATTCCCAACTCCTCTATTGAGGCTAGAATGTCTATCTAAAATGTGTCTTTGTAATTACTGCCTATAGTCTGTATGTGTCTTTACAATCATATGGTTATTTGTTGATGCCGAAACAAAATTGAGAGATGCATTGCAATCAGACCTCCATGAAAGAATGTGTATCTTTTATATGCCTCACATGCTTAGCTATTGATTTCAGCTACAGATTTCACTCCTATGAAGTAATGGAGTGCCACATCCAAATCCTGCAGATTTATACTCACAGTTCTAGCTGTTAATAATGGAAGGCCCAAGGATATCAATGTGGTTACTCATGTGAGTAAAGATTTGGAGACTCATTTCCCATTCATGAATGAAATGGTTTGGGGAATGCACAGTTACTATGGTTTTCTTTTGGCTTAAAAACAAAAATCCCCACAAAAACAACCACTAATGAGATGTGCTAGAGGGGCCCAAGGATAGAAAAATTCAGTAATTTAATATAAGAATGCAGTATTAATATAAGAATGTGACAGCAGTATTTTAGGAGTTATAAAAAAAATGTTCCCTTTCTTCAGTTTATTAACAGCTTTAGGAGCAAAGGAGACTTAATTCATCTCTTTGTGTTCCACCACTAGGTATGGCCATGACTCTTGAAATACTACCACAACTATGAGGTACTCCTTACCTTAAAAATAAAAGTTAATTTAGGGTTGCCTTTATCACATACTTGTACCTACTCTTAGTGATGAGTGTCAGTCCTAGCAAGTGACAATAAACTGATGTTTCTGGTTAGGTTTCTCCTGGTTGTATGTAGGCAAAGGTAACAGCATCTCCAGGGGGCAATGTTTATTTCTCATCCTTGGTTTCACTGCAAGCAAACAGAAGCAGGATGCATTCTCTGGTAATTGATACACCAGCTGAGGATCCTAGGTTCTCTAAAAGAGAAATTACTCTGGTTGGTTCAGTGTTTCTAAACTGTTCAACAGCATCCTTTAGTTTGCAGAGATAAAAGAGATGCATTTTCTGCTACTTCTTTCCCAGTTTTCATGAATTACAAATTTCCAATTGTATTTTGGAGTAAAAATAGTCATCTAATTCAACAGAACTTAAAACTGATTTACAGCTCTGGATGGTAAAGGAACTACACTAAAATTGTTTTGCCAAAGCATCCTGAAATTACCTGTCTGGATGAGAGAATTGGCTATCCCATCAATTTTTAAAAAAACAGAGATACATGGACTTTTATATGGTCATGATGTTGGAAAAAGGGCCTTGATCACCACCAAAATCACATTTATGCATAAAGAAGTAAATCTTGGCTATAAATGTCTCTAAGTTAAAGCAGAACAAAGTTCCAAGGTAGAGGGAAACATATAAGCAAACATAACATCCACTTATAAAATTTGAGCAATCTAAGCATCATTAGCTACCTGCTGCTTGTCACAACTGAAAGGTTTATGCAGATCAAAACAGCAATATTGTTTCTCAAAACACATAAACTGTTCTGTAAAGAAAATTTTGGAGGTGGAGCTGCCACACTGGTACTGTGCTGGGGTTTAGTGATTTTTTGATGAGTTTCTTCACTTTTCTTGATCCAAATCTCACATAAACACCATGTAGAGCAAAAAGAAAAACCAAACCAAACAAACATGAACAAGAAAAAAGGGTGTGTTTTCTATATTATTTGTGTGTAAACATTAATGAAAATTTATTAAAATATACTTCGCACACTGCAGATTTTTTCCCAGCTGGTTTTGTTAGTATTCTTACATTTGTACTCTTGCTTACACCACAGTAAGATCTGTTGTTTGAACAGATCTGAAAAGAGTCATGCAAACATCAAACATCTTTCATGTTAGCTAAACACTTTCTATGTTTGTTATTAGACAGAGGATTCACAAAGCTTACACTTAGAGCTGAAGGCTGCCCATCTTCCTAGGAATTACTACCTGAAGTGAATGTCACTGAGTCAGGCTAAGCATACTCCAAAAGAATTCTACTTGTCTTATCCCTGACAGGAGGAAAACACACCTGGGCTCTCCTGGGAAGTTGCAAACAGTAAGCAGCAGGAGGATAGCAGTGGGAATAGATAGGAATTAGTAAGCACAGATCTCACATGACTGCCTGACAGAACAAGAGATTTTGAATGCTGCTTCAAAATTGTCATTTATCATTTTTTAAAAAATGCTGTGAAAGTAGTCAGATACCAATTCAGTATTTTTTTTACTCATAAAGCAATAGAATATAGAACAGGTAGAGTATTTTTTGATATATATTTCAATATTACTTATAGTTTCTAGCTATGTCTCTGTAACTTTCAAAGCTTTGTGATGGAAATCTGTGCGATTGCTGATGCATCATTCTGTTATGCACATCCTCCAGCACCTCAGAACCACAGTGTGTTCCATATCCTGGGATGTTCTTGTTTTTAAATCCATTGTAAACAGGCAGATGTTGAACTGCTGAGTAGGAGATCATCTGCAGGATGGTTTGAATGTATGATCTGTGGGAGATTGTAATGATATAGGGCTACGGTTTGAAGAGTTCACACACATCCCACTCTCTTACTGGGGTGTGCTTCAGTAATATATGGCCATGTCCCTTCATCTTTGAAAAGCTGTATTGTTTCCTAGCATGTTGTACCTCCTGGTTGGATGTCAGTAATCTTCATCTTTGAAATCTCTGTTCTTTCTAGAAAAGTAGGATTCATTTTCCATGATAAGCTTTCAGGTTTTAGGAGATTGACTTTTGGTCCATTAGAAGTTAAAATTCAGCCCATGGGGTGTGACAGACTGGGCAGGATGCTGTCTGTCATAGCTGATGGAGAGTGAAATTATAGAAATGTGTGGTCTCATCCAATTAAAAATGACTGAAATTTTAATGATCTCTTTTTGGCTGACACTTTGGGAAAGACCACCAGTGATTTCCTAAGGGGAAAGAACTTCTAGCTTCCAACAATACCTGAGTCTGTCCAACACATTATTAGCTGACATCTATGGAGATTTGTAAGAACTTTTGAAGTTTTCTGGATTGCATACAGACAGAGAAGAGAAATGGATTATTTTTACTTCCATGAATAGAAGTATCATAGTTCAATGCTAAATAAAGGAAGCTGAGGGTCAACCTGTCAGTCAAAATTCATCCACATTACAAAAATGCAGATTTTTTTTCCCCTGTGTTGGTCCTTCTTACCCAGTGCAAACCCAGTGTAGAACTGATGTAAGAACTGAGACTTTGGGACTTCAAAGACTTTCATAGCATTCTCATGAGGCAAATGAAGGAAAAATGGATTTTGACTGCTTCTGAACCTCTCTTAAGTACTAGACTTTGCACTGGGTGCTACTCCATTTTCTGGTTGTTTCTCTACTCCACACCTTTTGCTCTCTAAGTCAATAAATTGCCTAGAAACTGTTTTGAAATGTCAGTAGATGCTGAGAGAACAGTAAGAGTGAAAGCTGGGAGAATGTGCAATACAACCTGGTTGGCATTCAGTTCCAGAATAAGATTCTAAAAATGGGGCAGCTGTGCGTAAGTGTCTACATGGGATTCTGCTCAAGTGACAGCAGGCACCTGAAGTACAATTCTCTTGCCCACACATGGGCATTTAGTGCCACTGGAGATGCATTAAGGTACCTCAGACACCCTGGTGGGACTGAGAGGTGACACAGGACCTTGGGACACGTTGCCTTTCTGGAGAAGCAGCTCTGCCAGGGCCTCTGAAATGAGGCCCCTATGCACAGACCCCCTCAACAGGGAGGACATCTCAGCTGCTCTTCTCATTCCACTGCTCACGTGGACTCAATCATCCCTGCCTATTCTGCCAGCTTTCACAGTTAGCCTGTCTGCAGGCAGCTACCCACAATTTGAATAACTGCTGATTTTTATTACAGGTTTTTATCACATCACTACTATTGAACCAAAAGAGTTATTTATGAACTAACATAAAGTGTTCTGTTCATTATGGTAATAGGAGGAAAGAGGAAAGCAGGAAGGAAGGAGGAAATTGTATTTGTCCTATCTTCTGAAGGCACCTACTTTGAATGCTTAAATTAGGACTCTCATTGGCTTTGTAAACAATTGAGACCTATATAGACCTTATCTCAATTATTTAAATTCTGTATAAATCCCTAGCCAAGGGGAGACAGTCTCCTTGGACTGATTCATGTGGCCTTGGTAAGATGCTGAGCTGGTAACATCTAGGACTAGTTGATAGAAAACATCAGGCGTGCTCATTGTATCTTAGGTCATCTGAATATTAGACTTTCCTAAGGTTATTCTATGTTCTGTTAGTATGTGTTCAGACTAAAACAGTTATTTTCAAGATATCTATCATAATATTCTACTAATCTAATTTGGCATAACTTCTCCCTTAAATGGTTGGAACTGACTTCTAGGTGTACCTCTCTTCATCATCTGTATGGGACCATCACCTCTGGGAAATTAATCTGAGGAAAGAAATGCTTTCCTTTTGTTAAGTGTCACTCACATGGAGTCCTTTTGCTGACACACCTTTAAACTTTCACATTGTTCTGTGTATCTGTAATGTTTGTCTAATGTATCCATGTGCAGTTTGAAACAATATACATTTGCACTCTACCTCACAATTCCTTTGTTTTCAGGAAATGATTTCCCCAACTGAAAACATAAATTATGACTCCAGTTATTGTCTCTTTTGGAGCCCTTAGCTAGAGTTCAGATGGTAGGGCAGTTGTGGAAGGGTTTACCAATTTACATATTAATCATAGTTTGATGGACCTTGATTAACATAGGCTCAGTCAACATCTTAATTAGCCAGAAGCACATAATGAGGAATTGATGCCTGTCTTCCAACCCCTGAGATTTTTTGCCAAGCAAGTACAGGTTCCTGAATAGCTGTTTTCCATAGCATTGTTAAAGCTAAGACCTTAATAATTGCTCTAATGAGGGAAGTTAGTTAAAAACTGTTTGGCCATGTGTAGAACACCTGAGGTAGCAAAGCATCTTCATTAGAGGGCAGATCCCAGCCAATTTGTAACCTGGATCAGGTATGATATTAAATAACATATTTGTGCCAAAATCACATTGAGCACAGAATATGTTTTTTAGGAGCTGTGGATGTTTTTATCTGATTGATTAGTTCCACATGTATGCAGCCCCAGGAATCTCTCCACAGGAGCCCACATGGAATTGGGATAAGCACAATTTAAGTATGCCTTTGTAGTTGAGTAACCTGCTGGGCAGGACTTCATCTCTGGTAACAATGTCCCTCCTGATATTTTGTTTAAAGGTTTGCTAGTCTGCAGCTAATTTATTTTGCAAGTAAAAAATAACTTTCTCCATACAGATATGTTTTAAAATTCCTTGAATACTCTCAAATACTGTTTTCAAAAGCTAGCCTGTCTGAGAACTAACTCCCAGTGGGACAAGGAAATGTTTAAAATTTTTCCCCATTTGATTCTTTGCTGTACATCTTTCACTGCTGCAAAATATAGGCAATAATATGTAGATGGAAATGTTAGGTGTATATTTATTTTTATTTTCAAAAGGAAAATGTTGTTATGAAATGTCTGATTTTAGTGGGAAAAATGTTTATTTGATTGAATGAAACCAGAAAATTATCTCCCTCATTATGTGTTCCCACTATTACAAGTATGCAGAATAAAAGTGCAAATGACATGTGCACTGTGTAATTTCTGTCCTTGCTTTCATGATAGCTGGTGTAAGAGCCACTGGTGGTGACAGAGAGAAAAATATCTGTTCTGTTGTGTGGAATTGGCATCTGAGCAAAACAGGGAGCAATTTATGACCTTATATTTTCTACTGTTGTCAGGCACAACATTGTGATTTTCTGCTTGGTTTCTGAAAAGAAGAGATAAGAACAATCTTTGAAACCAGTACCAGTCACTGCGTGAGTGTCGAATTCTATCCTGGCCTTCCACCCAAAGGGACTGATATCACAGCCTCCCAATAGAAAGTCTTCCCTCATTCCAGAAATGCAGGAAAATTTCTCTGAGATCAAAACCAGTTACAAATTATAGATATCTCTTGCCAAAATGGAGACAATTTATTAGTGGAAGAGATCCAGGAAGCCTCCTTGGTCTATTTGTCTGCCAATGTCTTGTTATTTCTTATATCCTCTCAAAGGATATTATATGCAATCCACTCCTGTAGGTTTGAGTGACAGTCTGGACTCTTATTTAGAGGTTTATTTTCTTGGTATTAAATACTCACTTCATGCTCATGTTTGTAGTACAAACCATCCTGCTCCCTTCAGCTTGGGTCACTAAACAAAAGTAGTACTCTGTTAATAATTATATAATAATTATAAAAATATTTTAATTTAATTTCTAAATATACTGTAAGTTTCAGATGAATGGTGAGAATTTGTATTGGATCCTTTTGTGAAAAGCAAATCTATAAGGCTATTGAAGCCCTAATGTTTACCATCATAAAACAAAAATTTCATGCCTTGAAATATGGAGTGATAGAAATTGCCTTGACATATAGAACTTGAAATACCCTAGGTTAAAAAAGAGAAGTTTTAATCTCTGTGGAGCCAGGCATTTAAAAAATTCAGCAGCTATCTTCAGTTGCCATATCGCATTAATGTGGGTGCTACCAACATTTCTTGACCTAAGTACCAAGAAATTGATGGGTACAATTTTTTTTTAAGCCTAAATACATTGATAGAGCTCCCACTGAGTCTACAGATGTTGTGTGGTAACTGAAAATGGTTGTTTGGATGAGTAACATGACTAAAGCTAAAAATCTCAGTTTTTAATGGCTGAAAAATACAGGAGAATGCATCTTATGAGACCTTTAAACACTGATTCTTCAGATGATTTTTGTGTCTGGGTTTGGCTATTTTTTAGCTATGGACAATAGCACTGGAAACTGTTCCTTCTAAATCCAGAAGGAAACTTTTCTGACAGATGATTATAACTTCAGCCTTACCTTCTCTTGAACACCAACAGAGGAAATTCTCCTTGGTCACTGTTTCATCTTTTGTTAGATTCATATTACTAATATGTTTTATATTATTCTTTGTTGCTTTTCCTTCTGATATCCCTCCTGGATAACTAATTAAAAATGGGGATTTATCTTTGCTAACCTCCATGAATCAAAATGACAAATTGTTTTATTGTTAATTCTGAAGGATAAGTCTTCTCATAGGTGCCTTCTGGAGGTTTGTGTCTTTCTGCATTATAGGAGAAGCTCTTAGATTTAACTTAGAGTACTTAGAATAACTAGATTTAACCCCTAACTTCAATGTTTAAAATGTGAGATAAATCTCTCCTTTAATGACTTAAATTTGGTGTCATTATAATGTTAAAGTCTGCAAAATTATCTTGACATTTAAAGAACATAAAATACCATCCCTACACACGTAGAGTGCAAACGATTTTAAAGAAGAGGCACATCTAAAACACTTAACCACTCTTTGTAATTAATAGTTAACACTAAAAAGTGTATATTAATGTGTAACTTGATTTTCTCTGGAAAATTGTAGCACCTATTTTCAACAGTCTTTGAACATTCTTTTCTAAGGGTTTCTTGAGTTCTCAGATTAAATATCAAATCCAAGTGAATGCAATCAAAAAGCAAAGCAAAATATTAAAATGTGAAGCCATATGAGCAGCATTTTCTTAAGATACTGAGTTTTCAAGTCCTAAGAGTCATACAGCAGTATGTTTTCTTCATGTAAGTGTTTACAATGAATTTCAAAGAGGAAAAGAGATAAATGTTATGTCTCATACACAGAATTCATCATGTTGTTAAATCCCCTGGAATCAGTCATCCTCCTGGAAGTATTCAAGTAGTTACACTGTAATTAACTTGCATTTGCACTGTATTTTTCAGCATAAGGAAATCTGTACAAAGTGCTCCCATTTTACAGAAAGGAAAACAAAGAGGTTCAGTGTTTTGATCTGATTCTGGAATTTCTGAGCCAAGTAGGTCTCTAGTGTTCATGATCAGAGGTCAGGACATCTTTCACATATGCTCCTCTCTCCCCCATGAGAAGAGGTTTTCCCAGAATCAGTCCCAGAGACATATTGGGGAAGCAGGTGGGGAATTATTAACAAGACACATTTGTTTGAGTACAATTGTAGTCAGTAACAATGCAGCCATTGAGCTGCATATACACAGAAAGTAAATATTTATGTGAGTGGTGATCTAGCTAGAAAAAGTAAAAAATGGGAAAAAATAATTTTGTTTTGTTAGATGTCTGACTCTTTCTGTTATGCCATTTCTATGTTGTCATCTTTGTATCGAGCTGTAGGCTTGGAAATGCTAGATCAAATTGAAAAAATTGAAAGTTAAAAAACCCTACAAACAACCCCACCAAAAACCCAACAAACAAACAAACAAACAACCCCTCAACAAGACAACAAAAAAAAAAGCTGGGAAAAAGCAGGCCAAAAACACCCACCCAGCTGTAGCTGATACTGTTCAGCATGAAAAATGTGATGTTAATTCTATTTCTTTTTTTCTTCTGTAAAAGATCTTTAGAGGGCTTTATGGTCTTTCCAGACAAGTACAAAAGACATTCAATATCTTGATGTATCCCCATGAATTTGAAAGGTATGACCTCCATAGGGGATACTACTGTTGGTTTTACACCATTAATGTTTTCCTTCATTTATTTCTGCAGAATACCTGCACCATCTTTTAAAGTGGGAATTGCCTGGGGTGACAAATTGAATCCTGAATCTTTGCACCTGACGCCACAAGAGCCTATAAATTAATCATGGACCAGGAAGATACAATACTAAATATTTCCCTTTCTCAAAGGAAAAACAACCCTTGGGGTAATCATGGACCAGGAAGATACAATACTAAATATTTCCCTTTCTCAAAGGAAAAACAACCCTTGGGGTCACTAACAAAGAATAAAAAACCTGGACTTGTTAACAAGAAAGCAATTAATTATTTACACACATGTGAGTATTTGCCATTAGCCTCTTTAGAATTAAGAATCCTTGTTCTGCTAGATTTACTTCTGTCCCTGTGAGTGTAGCTGTTAAGAAAAGGTATTCATCGACCCTTTTTAATAGTGGGAAAAGCAAGCAACAGAAAATACGATTCTAAAGCAGGGATATATGTGTCCATTGCTTTCGATCTTTCAAAAGAAACAAAGATTAAGCTATTTATTGCAAAGCTACATGTGGTGGTTTATTATTCTAGCACATTCATGGCCAGGACGAAGCAAATAAATTATTGAGTGCTGTGAGTGATTTCATTTATGTATGTATGTATGTATGTCATTGTTAGAGCAAACAGTAGAGAAAAACCTTGCATCCTTGTATGACTCCCGTGGGGAATCTTAATGCCATTCAGCCAGGTGGAGCTTCTATGTGCTTTTTTTCCCATTCACTGCCATCCACCTATCCATCATAATGCCCTGAGCAGTTTTCATCCATGAAAACTCCTTGCTATAGCAATATATAAGCTTTGTAAATAAAGTCTGGCATCCCTGAGGGGAGCAATATCGACTTCTAGGAATTCTCATATATTTAATCTATTTTAAGGCCTGAAAAGTGTATTTCTGTAATAAAATATTTTAAGACCCTTTTGTCCAGGGAAATTTTTTTCCATGGCAGGTGACCCACAGGACTGCTGCGGATATGAACATTAAGGGGCTTCAAATGGATGCAGTATGATGCAGCAATTTTTTTAGGATTACTCTAAGGGGAAAGGACCCCAACCCCATCCTCCTCACCCCTGGTATCTGAGCAGTTTGAAAGCATAAAGGTCCATGCTATCCCTGCAGATATAGGCAGAAAACTCCCAATGGCTGCAGCCAAAGCTGTATGTGTGCATCTGAGTGCAATATTTTGGTTTTGAAAGTTAACTAAGGTATGAGAGAATAGAACAGTGTTTTGTATAACACCTTTCCTACTTGTTACAGCTCAAAGCACCTTACAGGGACATAAATGAGATCCTGCTAGCACAGGGAGCATGAAAGAAGGCTGAGAACACATTAGGTGCTTAGCAGGAGATCACAAAGTGTTTCAATGACCAGAGCTTGATTTACTAAGAAAATGCAATGTTGGCCAGAAGTACTGATGTTACATTTTTTCTGCTTCCTCTTTCTCCCTGTCTCTTACATGCATAAAACACGACACCAAAATTTTGAGGTTTTGATCCACTATCTTAACATTGTTGACTTCTTCTTTTCTCTTAGGCCTTGTGTTAGGAGCATTCAGGAAAACCTGGATGTTAGTTTTGGAAACAAAATGTCTTCTCAGCTTTAGCCTTACAGTGTGAGATGTTTTGTGCTTATGTCACACACAGAGCTATGTGGAGAGAAAACCCTCCTAAGCAGCTACGCAAGGTGGGCAGTTTTCCAGAACCTTCTTTAGGCTCTGAGCAGACTCGTCTGAGCTGGCTCCATCTCTGGGCACTCAGGACTTGGGGGGTGTGTGCCTGACCTGAGCTGACAAATCCTGTGGGGAGCTTGAATTCAGAGGCAATATTGTCACATTTAGCTGGAGTATAGCACTGCCTTGTGAGTACTTCTAATATATCAGACTCCTCCTCCAATGCTGCTTCTTGCCATGGCCAGGGTAAACCTTCATTGTGAGACCCCAGTTCAAGTCCCCAGTAACCTGAACAACTAAACAAATGGATCAAGCTCCACAGGGCAATGAAGACCTGCCATGAAAACCCAATCACAGGGGAACTGCTGAGCAAGCAGAGTCCCCTGTAAAGGTCGTGGTGAGATTTGGGGTAGCTGAAAGGATGTGAGAGTGAAAAAGCCTCTTGAGCCCAAATAAAGTCAAGTTTTTAAGGCAAAAGGGTCAGTCATTGTCTGGAGATAATGTATTTAGCCTGAAATTCCTGACTTCACCAACTGAACAATTTTTAGAATTTGTGGGTTCTCATAATCTGCTCCTGATGCAACATGATAGCTGCATATGCCTGTAATTTCTGCTCTAAATCAATTTATGAGTAAGCTTTCTTGCAGTGACTGCATAGTTCTTGTTGTTTACAAGTCTCTCTTCGTATTACTGACGTCAAGGTTGGATTTATCTGAGTGTATTTACTTAATTGTTTAATTTGTTAAAACATTTAATAGAAGGCTTCTGGAATTATATACTCAGTAGTTTCACTATAAAAATAAGCAACAACATGTGTATCTGTCTGCTGCTGCATTTGAAGCGATAGGATTTGATTTGGGGCAGTGCCAGGAAATTGTGACTTTTGTAGACTGGGTGGAATAGCTTTGATGCAATCAAGGGTTTTCTTGCTGTTTATTCTCTGCCTTCCAGTACAAAGGATAATGGGAGGTATTCTTAAGTAATTATCATAATAATAAGATTACATACCTACAAGCATCTGTAGAGACATGCACACACTACTTTTACAACTCTTGTATCTGATTATTTAACAGCTCTACTTTAATTGATTAGTTGGACTGCTTGCTTGCTTGCTTGCTTGCTTTTTATGCATATCTGTGTAACTCTGCTAACATATCCTTCTTGCTTGTTACCCATTATTAGATGGGGGTGAAGGCTATCAGTACTGCTGCAGGACCCAGGATTTTTAACCATGCAGTGACTGGGGACCATTTTGCCTCATTAAGTCACCCAAGACTCCCTATTAATATGTAATTATGCACTTTGGTGTTGCAGTGGGAGCTGAAATAAAAATGAAATGAAGAGGTATTATAAAAAGCCCAGAGATTTCTAAACTGTAGTGTTTTAGTTAGAGTTAAGGGAACAATTGCCTTACTTTTCAGGTCATGCCAGCAGTCACAGGCAAAAGCCATCTCATGAAGGACTAAGTGAAGTGGAGTCAGGGTGCTGCTCCAAGGGGAAGCATTGGGAGAAAAAGAAAATCTGGAAAGGAGGTCAAGGCAAGAGGAGAGCTGTCTGCTGCTGAGTGAAGTGGTTTGAAGGGCTGAGGGGTGGGACCCAGCCAGGAAGGAGCAGCTTTCCCTGGGCATAGCTGCCCTTTGCTCCTGTGTGGCACCCACTAGCACCCATCAGCTCCTGGCAATCCAGGCAGCAAGGCCAAAGTTGCTCTCCTGCCCTCACCACCTGGCTGCTTCCCTTATGTGCCTGGAGCTGGCTGTTGTGGTTTGTGTGCTCTGTGTAATACTGGCATAAAAAAGGAAACATGTAACCCCCAGAAATGTATGCACACGTATGGTTACACGGAAGAGTTTGTCAGTGAAGGTGCAGGGTAAGTCAGCAGGGCAGGTAATGAATGTCTTAAAATGCTGGTAACATTGACTGTACAACTGACTGTTTTTTCCAAAAGGCAGTACATTCAGGTTCAGTGTGGTCAGTGTATTTTTGTTATCTGCCCTTCCAAACAGCAGCAAGTGAGGGAAACGGGATAGTTTGTGAGTTTACTCCAGAAACAAAGATTTTGGTAGTCCCTTCCACTTAGAGATTGCAAAGCCTGAGCTAAAACTGATGAATGACATGGAGTCAGAAGGCTTTTTTAAGCAACAGGTATTTAACCTGAAAGTTAGTATGCTTTGCACAACCTCCTCTGCATAGGAAGGGAGCTTACAGCAGCCCTTCTGGCTATTACAAGACATATTATCCCTTCCAGGAGCTCTCTGCCTAGGCTGGCATGAGCACAACATGATGTCTTTTCTTACCTGTAGATGAGAGCTAGCTTTCAAAAAGCATTAACCTCCTGCCAGACTCCACCTCTTTCACAATCATAATATTTTAGGTTAAAAATCATAACATGTTAGAGACAATTCTGCATTCCTTTCTTCTAGCCTCTGGCTTTCAAATTGTAGGGGTTATATTCAGGTCAGACTGTCAGCTCTCTCTCTGTAACAGTCTAAAGGCTAAATCCCTTTTAAAAAAGAAAATAAATCTCCAGTTCTCACATAATGACTTGGTATCTGGAGCTGAGGCTTCACAGAAAAGATCAAATAGCCTAAGCCTTGTGGCAGAACTGTAAGGAATGGCAACGCCTCATTATCCCATAGATACATCTCAGTTATAGTAGTCTTTGAATGTTCTCTGAGACAGATGACCAAGAAGCTGTATAGTGACAGGAGATGGTACTGCTCCTGTGCTGGGTGTGTTGGGGATTGTTGTTTGTGCTCCAGAATTCTATATTGTTATAGCTGCTCCTTCAAGCATCATGTGGGGTTAATTCGATGGGTGCAGCATGCAAAGTGGTAACAAGATGTGAGATACTGTGCAAAAGTTAATGACTCATGGGCACAGATGGGGCCAAAATTGATTATGAGTGGTGGCTTGGCATTAAATTCCTGGAAAAACTGAGAATAGAGATGGAAGAACAGTACAGTGAACAACTTGTTCTTCCTTGAAAAGAGAGCAGGACCCTTGTTCCATTTGGACCAAACCATGAAGTCATCTAGGTCTGTACACTCTTCTCCAACAGCTGCAGCCGTATTGGAGCAACCTCAGTGCCTGTGCTAGTGGGATAAAAACATTTCCATGTGCTTCTTTCATTCACAAAGCATATGTGCCTCCCATGGCCTCCAGTGTATCCTCATTCCCTTGAGATGGATTCAAATATTAAAGCCTGCTATGTGTAATTATTGCTAAGTCTGGGAGGAGGTAAAACCTTACAGCCATTTTAATGTGTTTCAAGACAGGTAGGTATAAATCACAAATGTGCAGTCAGTAACAGGAAATTCAGAAGTCATCAGAAAGAAGCAATGTGCTCCAAAGAGTGTGATCATAAAACTTACATGGTCTTCTGAGCTATGTGTGTAGGGTTCTGCAGTTCCTGGCCTGATCATTCCTCAGCA